GTTTGTGACAGAGGCTCCAGTGAGTCGGCCCACTCCTCTGTATGGTCAGCCGTCATGGTGGGGAGAGGAGGATTATGGGAATAAAGTCCAGAGCAGTGATCAGCCTCATCCAGGTAAACATTATTAGTTCTTGTATTTTCGTCCTTTATTTTCATTTTAAAGTAACGCTTCTTTCTTTTTCAGATGGACAGAAAGATGCTTCATCCGTGGATCCAGATTTTTCCTCCCAACCAAAGACCGTCTTTCCTTCCTACCACCGTGAGCCCAGCTACTTTGAGATACCCACCAAGGACTTCCAACACCAGAAACCATCAGGAGCAGAGCTCCATGAAATCCCCACCAAGGACACGGACGTGCCCCAGGCTCCGCCTTCCCCTCCCACCCCAACCCCGCCCATCGTTCAAAGCCACGCCTCCTTCACCATCGAGTTTGACGACTGCATGCCCGGCAAAATCAAGATCAAAGACCACGTCACCAAGTTCTCCACTCGCCAAAGGAAGCCACAGGCTCCGCCCGCCAAGACCACCATCACCGCCGCGCCGTCGGAGATGATGTCAGCGCAGAGCAAAGTGGCTGATTGGCTGGTTCACAGTGACGTCAGCATGATGAGGAGGCATGCACCGTGTGAGGATGTTTACAGCACCAAGAGTGACCTTGCCATGAACATCAAGACCCTCAAAGGTTAGAGCCACCCCGAGTGTCTAGATCAGGTTTTTAGACCAAGATACCATGTCAGAATGTGACTGTTCGAAAGAAACTTCTTCTTGTCGAACATAAATATGTTTTAATGCTCTTGTTAGCAGGTCATCATCATGAGGACGGAACCCAAAGTGATTCAGAAGACCCGGTACTCAACGGCAGAAGCAAATCCCACCACTCTGTCCAATCAGAGCAGTCTGAGACATCCCAGCAGACTGTCCAGTCCACACAGGAGCCTCCTCCAGCACAGAAACTCCACCACCTGCTGCAATACTCCCCACCCAGACAAGCTCCGCTCTCACCTGTGGTCCCTGAGCAGCCCCTGTCTCAGAGCCCTCCTCAGCCCTCGTCTCCAACAGACACCCCGAAGCCGGGGCCTCCTGAGCACCTCACCCAGCAGGCCTTCATCATCGAGTTTTTTGACGACAACCCACGTAAGAAGCGTTCTCAGTCCTTCACGCACAACCCCGCTCACGCCGACACTTACTCCGCCCTCAAGTCCAAGCTGGAGCGACGTAAAGGCGGCGAGAGGCCAGCATCCGTGCACGGACACATTCCTCCCACCCAACAAGTGACCGTTCCTTTAAAGGGTCAGGGCCACAGCGGGCCCCAGAGGTCCAGCTCTCTGAAAAGGGAGAAGACGGAGGGAGAAGGGGCTTCGCTGAGCTCCTCCTCTCACTCCTCATCGGGAATTATCGTCAGACCTTTCGGCAGCGTTGGTAAGAAGTCGAAGCTTGCCCAAGAGTTTGCTGCTGAATTCTTGAAGGACTCTGGTCAGAAGGAGTCCTCCCCAACCAGGGACAAGACGTCGCCTCCCCCTATGTCCGCACCGCCAGTGATGGTGTCGCCGCCTCAAGCGCAGTTTCCCTCCCCGCAAGAACCTTCAACACCTGCTTCAATCTCCTACCCCTCATCACCCTTACAGCCTCAAGCAGCCTCAAAATCCGCAATACCACCAAGTGCTCCTGGCCACATGGTCTCACTGGTCCATCTATCTGGAACCCCAATGTCCCCTATCCTGTCTCTGGGTGTTAGCGGAGGAGACCTCAAAGGTTCCCCGAGGATGAAGAAGAACGAGGAGGATGATAGTCTGAGTGATGCTGGGACGTACACTATTGAGACAGAGTCGCAAGACAAAGAGGTGGAAGAGGCTCGCAGCATGATTGATCAGGTGATTATCAAGTCGGAGGGTTTTTGGCCCCACGGGTTCTGGAGTGAAGTAGAATCCATGCTTTATAGTTTTTAAAGAAAGAGTTCTGCAGACTGGATAGATAAGATCTAAAACTTCTCATGTCTTTAATTTACTGAAGTTTTCCTCTGTCAAACACAGTTTTAAATGTTTAGCAGTGCATGGAACCCTTCGTACTTCCTGCTTCTTCCTGTCGGTGTGGTCCCGCCCCTCCTCATGCATGCCCTGTGTCCAACAGGTGTTTGGTGTCCTCGACTCTCCAGAGTACAGTGATGTGACCACAGGAGTCAGTAGACCAGTTATAAATGAAGGCAAAGATGAGCAAGCTAACCTGCCTAGTGATGGTAGCACTGTGGACCCGTTGCATGGCTTTATCCCAGCTGCTCTCAGTGGCACCCCAACAGGTCCCATACAGGTAACACCTGACCAGAACCCAAAGAAACACCTGTGTTGCATGCTCTTGTCCGAGAACATCCAGACTGGTGTTTACACCGTTCCTCCCATTTCATTTGGTCACATCTTGTTTGACTTGTGGAACCCGACATATCTTCATGATTTTTTTGTTTTCTAGGTTCCTGCTGCCGGTATTGAGGGTCCAAAGTGGGTTTCCCGATGGGCCAGTCTAGCAGACAGCTATGCTGAACCTGGCTCCACTCCACATCAAGTAGAATGTGTCGAAGGTGCTGCTGAAGTTACTTTTGGTTTATCAGAAATAAAACAATACAAGATTTTAAGATGATGTTGACACAAGTTGCAATAACAACATTTTGTTTCGTAGATTTGCATTTCACGAGCCATTCGATGGGAAGTTTCAGCTACGACACCTCAGAGTCAGAGACGAGCCACAGCTCCAGGACGAGACGGTTGCTGCCTCAAGTGCCTCCAGAGAAACTGGAAAGTGTTCCTCCGAGCATCCTGATTCGGCACGAATCGTACCAGGGCCAGGAGTCTCTGAACAGAGTTTCTGGTCACCTTTGCCCACAGGACTCCACCCAGCACCTAGCCGTTCAGGATGACCTAGACCCAGACAGCCTGAGTGATGCCAGTCGCTCCGAAGAAGCACCTATTCTGGAGAAAGCAAGGAAGGATGCCAGGACTGGAGCTACGTCTCCAGGTGTTGCAGGCCACCCCTTTAAATATCAGGAAAGAGTTTCTCCAACCAACAAATCCACCTCCTTCTACATTGGTGCTGAGGATTACCCAGGCAAGCCTGACCAAGCCCGGAGCCCCGTCCAGTCTGAGAGGACTCGAGACCTCCCTGCTAAAACTCCTCCTACCACAGTCCTGATCCGACACTTAAGTGGACACGAACCCAAGAGGACAGGAGTCAAACCCAACAGCTCTGCTCCTAACCTCCAAACACAGGACAGAGATTCGGTTCCTACTAAAGACAGCGGCATGCTGTTTATGGTCCGGCAGGAGAGTTTCACCAAAGACCAACCCAGTGACACTGTCCAGATGAAAAAGCTTCCCCATATCTCCAGCCACCCATCCATCAGAGAGATGGAGCAGAGGCGCGAGAACATCCAGGACACTCAGCCCTTCCTTCAGGAGGCAGAGGGAACTCTGTCCTCTCTGGACACCAAGCTGCCCTCAATTGGTTCTGGACGTAGCTCGAAGAAGGGGGGCTCGTCTACCCGCATGGACGATTCCCTTTCAGGTGAGTCAGATGTAGATACAGCAAGCACTGTGAGTCAAGTGAGTAGCAAAAATGTTCCTATCAGCTCCAATTCTAAGAAGCGACCCACAATCAGCAGCCTTCAAAAGGAGAAGTCCTCTTCCAGCCCGTCCATTCAGGAAAAGGGACGACAGCTCAGTGCCCGAGAGCGGCTTTCTGAGAAACGTCGCAACCAGATATCCGCCGAAGCGCCATGCAAGGGAGACACAACAAAGCGCTTCCAGATGCGTCGCAGTACGGGCAACCGCGGCTCTTTGGATATGTCTGAACAAGCTTCTGGACCCAACTGGACGGAAACTACATCTTCTGATCAGGAAGTTTCCCGTCCATCCAGCCGCACCAAAAAAATTATTGCTCCTCTTCAGAAAGAAGACAATGGAAAGACGCCTAAGACAGTGACTCAGCAGGTTCTGACCCGTTCCAACAGCCTGTCAGCACCACGGCCGACCCGAGCATCAATGCTCCGACGAGCACGCCTGGGTGAAGCCTCAGACAATGAGGGTACAGAGACTGATCGAGCCTCCCAAAATTCTGACCAGATTTCTACTCCATGTAAAGCATCTGCTGAAGGTAAGAAGATGTCCAGACTGGACATTTTGGCGATGCCCCGGAAGAGAACCGGCTCTTTTACGGCTCCCAGTGACAACGAAACCTCCACGAGTCGGTCTGGTTTCTCCAATCGCAATGCTGAGCCTCCTCCTACGGCCAGGAAAACATCAGTTGGTGACGCCCGCCAAGCAGCCAGCCGAGGGGGTGGAGCTTCTGCAAAGCAGCCGCTGACTCGAACCCGATCAAGTGGAGCCAAGTACCCCAGCAGTGGTGAGTCTGGAGCAGCATAAAGATGTGGAACATTTAGATATCTTTGAACTCATTGGTTTGTTAAACCGCTAACTGTGAAACTAGCTTCTTATTAAGCTTTAAACTTAGCACTAAACTTTGGAAACTGTTAGCGGACTAGCTTCCGCTAAATTAAGATTCTCATAAATGTTAAGTCTGCTTAAATGACCACATGTAAAACTTGTATTTTATGGCAATCATCTCAAATGAAATAAAACTATCACCATTTACAAGCTGTGCTGGACGTGTTAGGCACCGTGTGTGTATAGCATGTGGCATCTTTAGCAGCTACATTTCAAAGTAAGAGTGTCAAAAAGACATAAAAACAGTTAACAATATTTAAATAAATACAAAAAATTACTGTAGAAAATATGGTTAAGTACTTGTTTGACTAACTTCAAATGGCGTTTATGAAAATACAAACTCGATCAAAGAGATGCTTTCATTCTGAAAGGGATAACCTGGAAGTACCACAAGTTAGACAAAGGTAAAACTCTGGTTCAGACTGGCAAATGATACCACCCACCTTCAAATTAAACCAATAAAAATCTTCACCTGGAAGCAGATGAGGACATTTGGCACAGGCTGACAGTCAACATAGCGGTTAGCGGTTAGCATTAGCTTCCACTTTTTTTATTTTATTTTTTTATCTGTTAACCTTAGCTCTAACCCCTGAAATTCCTTGAAAGCCTTTTGACATTTTTTATCTTTTGTGAGGGCGTCAAACTAAAGGTAAGAATCGGAGGAAGTTGTCTGACACTCTAGTTTTCAAAATAAAAGCCCGCTGTAGCATCTGGAAATGTTTAAATGCAAAAACCGCACTGTTTTTGCCCACTGGTGGAACAAAAACTGTTGAGTTTAGCAGAGCTAATGTTCTTGTTTAGCAGGTTAGTGGTTAGTTAAGCTAATGTTTTGGTTAGCTGTGCTCACCACAGTTTGAACTGCATCTGATACAGACACACCAGACAGCCTTCGACACCCTGGAACCTTGATTGAAAAGAGGAACAAAATGCAATTATAATCTGACATCAGTTACTTGTGCGATACAGACCATGTTTCAGCTGAAAAAACAGTTCAGTCACGTCCAACATCTGTCCCCTGTGAACTGCTGCTGCTTTATTACCATGGAAACTGTTTCCCCATCTCCTCAGTGATGTTCAGGAACCAGGATGTCTGGAACAAAGAGCGCTTTATAAGCAAGTAGAGATTATTTGGATTAGTTGTTGGGATTAAACTGAGCTGATTTGACTGAACTGAACCTATCTGTCATCATCTGCAGCTCGTTCACATGTTCTTGTTCTGACCATTGATATACACAGTATTACTGGATTGGGCGTCACGTGACCTGGGCGTGGCTTCGCAAGGGGGATTTTTATGCATTGCGCTAATGCTAAGGCTAACCATTGAAATCAATGAGCAGAACGTAGCGCGGTGCAAACAAATGCTTTATAAATGTACAAATAGTATAAATACTTTAACTGCAGAAATTGTTACAACATGTTTACAAGAGCTAAAAGGTTATGTTTCACAGGTAAATATTACACATATTTAACCAAAATTAATTATTTTAATTGTAAAACCTGTATGCTAACATTAAACAGCTACAAAATGTTCATGTTTAACCATATTTAAAATCGATTTTATCTGTTGTCCAAGATATTATTTACTGATATTAAACATGTTAATATGGACTTTATTGGATTGTTGACTAGTTAGACTGCATATAAATTCAGAAATTATGATTTAGACTCACTAATAATAGACACTAATGTAATGATTGGGCATCATAAACAAAATAGTCACGTTATCAGACAGGCCGGTTTATTCAGATATTTTCTACAACCAGTATTTGTGTTTTTCAACATTTCCAGAGAAAAAGGAGGGAAAAACGTGTGCCAGCTGTGGGTCGGCTTCAGATGCATCGCATCATTGTGAAACTGAAGAATAATTCTTTGTGAAAAAATAAATTCATTAAACAATACTTTGTGACATGAAATAATTTGTATATTTTAGTTTATTTTTACTGATGTTAAAATTATTGTAGTTTACAGCAAAAACTTTTATATTTGTGTGTGTATATATATATAAGCTTGAAAGATTAATTTTATTACTTTAAATGTCTAAGATTCAGTTTTAATTAATAAATATACATATGAGTATCCAGCTGGTCAGAACTCATTGTTTTGTATGAAAAAAAAAACCTGTGAAATGCAAAATACTTAGTTTAAGCCACTATTTTAGTCATTTAAATTAATTATCTATTTTAAATTTCCATACCTATAAGATTTACAATTTCCTCAGCGTTATTTTGCACCATAGTTTGTAAAAATCGAGCATGTAATAAGGAAGTTACAAGAGTTTTTCTTCAGGAAGACACCTCACAGTCCATTGACATCCATTCATTTTGTTGAGGCTCCTCAATGCAGAACAGAGCTCCAGTGTGTGATGTCAATGTAGCTAGCAACGCGCTAGCCACGCCCAATCCAGTAATATCTATCAATGGTTCTGACTGAGGCCAGCAGGTTTTAATAAAACCATTTCAATCCTTTCAGGGTCCCATCGTAAACAGAAGGGCTCGGACTTCTCCTCGTCCTCTGAGGACGAATACGAGACCAACGCCGGTAGCTCCAAATCCAAACGCCCCTCCCACCCAGCAGCAGCCTCGGCACAGACGCCACGCAGCCAACGAGTGGCCGCCAGAACCAAGTCTGTCTCGCTGGAGACGGAGGAGGACGAGGACCAGAACGATGTCGACCCGTACCAGAACTGGTCCACGCACAGCGCCGAGATCGCCAAGTACGTAAGACCGGTGCTGCGCCTGGACGCAGCGCTCCACCCCTCTGATATGGAAAGCCCTAAGTGACACAGAAACGCAGCTTTACAACGTGTTAAACTTAAAAAACGCCGTAAAAAAGGCAGTTTTATAAGTCAGAACGCCGTAAAATACGCCGTAAGCCCCGCCAGAACGTCGTCTTTTTCGCCGTTTGGAGAACGCCGTAAAAAACAACGTTTTCTCCGGTCAGTGAACGCCTCTTAGAACGCCGTCAAGCATTCTGTTGCAATAAAAATGCCATTTTTACACCGCTCTTTCCACATCTAAATGCCGTTTTAGATTGCGTTTTATTAAGCCCTGCCCATACTTTTCTCATCCACTTAGATTAAACTTATTTCATCCAATAAGATAACTAGAAATGCAGACCACATTACTTCATCACAGATGACTGAGCTGCAAAGAAATAGATTTTTTTTTCTTTGTTTAACGCGTTGTAATGTGGCGTTTCTGTGGCACTTCAGGCTTTCCATACTCTGACCCTCTCGTGACGCTTGTGCTCCCGCTGCAGGCTCAGTCAGGACCTGGCTAAAGACCTGGCCATCCTGGCCCAGGAGATCCACGATGTTGCCGGGGACGGGGACTCGCCCAGCTCTGCGATGGGACCCGCCACCTCTCCCAGCTCGCTGCCCAACACACCGGCCTCCACCATGTCTGCCCGGGAGGAGGTGGGGCATGAACACACGTTACTACCACACACACACTGATCATCCCGGTGTTCCCTCCCTCCTGAGTGGGCACAGCGACGCCGCAGGGGGAGTCTTGTGTGTTTGCGGGTCATGCTTCTGACTCTCATGATCCATATTTCTGTTTCGCTGCACAGACGTCATCTGTTCCATACCGCTACGGGGTTCGACCATCTCAGGTGTCCAAGCCTCCTGATCCTTGATTTGTCCCATCACTGACCCTAACTCGCCCCTCTCACTGTCGGACTGTTCTGAAACATCGAGTTTGTTTCAGATTCCAGCGTTCTGCATGGAAGATCATTAACAACACAAACCAGATCTGAGCTGGAAGGATGAAGGATGAAGGCTCAGAGGGGACAGAGAAGACTATCTTAATATATAAGTGGTATTTTTATCAAAACTAAACGAACAAAACCTGGTAATAAACTGGTCACCAGGGAGATATTTTATCATTTAAACAAAAAAATGTCCCAAATTTTACCTTTTTTAAAGTTGGTAACCTTCTTCTGGAACATTTAGTTCTGTTCTAGTTTTCAAAAAGCAAACTTTATTGATCCATTTTGCCTTTTATGGTGATTTTTATGAACCTGTGTGAGATTTCAGTGTTGAGTTTCTGATCCACTCATCCTTCTGTCCTGAGGTCCCTGATCCGTTCTGCTCCTCTCATCTTGTCCCTCATGTCCCATCTGAACCAGTTCTGTGTGTAGCCAGGTCCGTGGGTCGTGCGTAAGGAAACGAGTTTCAAACTGACGCTTTTCTTTGCATGTTGTTGGTTTTAAGCACAGACTGCAGCTCAGATTCACCCGCTCTGTAGTTTTTGCTGTTAACGAGCCTCCATCAGCCTCCTGCGGTAATGAACTGGTTTTCCTGGTTCATGGAGCTGGGACCGGGTTCTCCCTGCACTCCTGCTCCTCCCTGTGGTCGTTAACGAACTGAATCCCAGCAGAACTAAAACTCACTGTTGCCCCCGCCCCCCACCATTCTGCAGCTGCATGTTGACTCGCTGCATGCGTTCACAGAGCACCGCCCCTTCCACCCGACGGCGCTCGCCCGCTTTGTGACGAACATTCAGATCTACTCTCTTTCCAGCTGGTCCAACGTATCCCCGAGGCCAGCTTAAACTACCAGAAGGTTCCTCCAGGTTCTGCCGCCGCCTTGGACCTGGACGCAAATATGAATGAGACAGAGCCCGCCTCTTTGCAACGGCGCCCGTGGAATCGCGAAGAGGTGTCTGTCAGATCCCACTGAGGCCACGTTCACGCCGCACCTCAGAGAAACCAAACCTTTGCTTTAAAATCCAAAATCTGAACAATGATCACTTTTGAATAGGGGTATAAGAAAATATCGATACACTGAAATATCACGATATTTCATTTCCCGATACTGTATCGATATTCTAAAGCCCTGTATCGATTTTTTTATTAAGGTTTAAAATGTCAACTTTCCTGCCAGCCGTTCATTTTTATGTTGTAGTTCAGCCTCTGACCACTAGTTGGCAGCAGTGAGCCAGTCTTTTGGCTCCTCTACCTCTTGAGGTAGAGGCTATTGTTAAAAGTGTTGGGTGACCATATTGTAAAAACTAAAA